AAGAAGTGCCAGGAGATTTGATGAAATTCCTTTCACAGTCACCACCTACCAGTGTAAAACAAGCAGTTTCCACATAAGATCAGTTGCACTGAAAAGCCAGAAATGACTTGTAGAGCAGCAGAGGGTAGCTGAGAGTAATAATATGTGGTATTTGCCAATTCACTTTATTAACCCAGTGAAAAACTGCTGGATTTTGAGCTGTGGTTTGAATACCTATCTTTGTAAGTGGTGCTCAAGATGTGTCGTGTCCTGTGTTTGGGGAAACTTCCTTCTCTGCTGATCTGCAAGGTGACCAGCTTTCCGTTTCTTTTCTTGTGAGTGTTAAAAAGTGTCCTCAGTGTTACAAGTAGAAAACAGTTAAAGAGTAAATACACCTCCTGTATGAAATGTGATATGAAGATACTTATTTTATTCTTGCTGTTTTCCCTCTGCTCTCATAATTGCGCAGTTAAACATTTATGTGACTGTTGAACTCGGTGATAAAATGCAAACCCCAGCCACACCCGGGAGCCTCTGGTAGGTGGCATGGACGTGCACGGAGCGGCGCGTGAACAGCAGCCCCGTCCCCGGGCTTGGGGCTGCTCCCAAATCTGCAAAATAATCCTCGATTCTAAACTGAGCCGAGCTGAACCGAGCTGATTTAGTAATGTTGGAAATAGGAATTTCAGCTGGTTTTGAGTAGTATTTGGTTGTCCTTATATAGAAGTGAGAATATAGAGTGATTCATTTTCTCTTTTTAAAATGCAGAATTGAGAAGAGATTTAAAAAAAAAAAAATCAAAATTTTAAGAAAAAAAGTTGAGTAAAGATCAAATGGAGATACTTTGCCAAAAAAGAGAATTACTCAGCAAATAAAAGGCATGTGGATTTGCAGGATTGTAATGTCTCAGTGGAAACTTAGTAATACTTCTTACAAGAGCTATAATCAATCTAGAAGAATGTTTACATTCTTTTTTTTTTCTTTTTTTTTTGTAAACATTTCTCTCTAGTGTATGAGATTCAGAACTGAAATTGGCCAGCTCTTTACCAGTGTCTTGAGGCCTATTTAACTTGTCACATTTCTGCTAGGGGACATATTTATAAACAAGTGAACATAGACTGTAAACAGTAGATAGCCTCAGTTTAGAGTTATTTCTGTAGGCATTTTCTTTGTGCATTTAATAGCATTTGGGGCTTAATTCAAAATTTTACTGTAGTCGATATGAACTCATACAGTTATTTCCATAATTCTTGGATTAAGCTCTTACAAGTACTTATCTTCACTTTTTTTTTTCTCCCTATATGCTTGTAGCCTTTTTTTTTTTAGATAAGTACCATATACATGAATGATGGATGGGCTAAGCAGTTTCAGGATTGTGTCCAAAATCAGCTTTTCTAGTCTTGTGTGAGATATGGGAATTCTAAGAATCATTAGAAAATCAGTGAAACTGTGAATTTAGTTACAATTGTAATGGCTGAAATGCCTTCTAAAATATTTATTATATTTTAAGATGATGTCATTTACTATTTAGTACCAAACTATTTTTTTCCCTGTAAATAGGACAAATGATTATCTGGTATTGTAAGTYGAAATTGTAAGTATTTCTTGAGGGAAAGTATTTAAGTGTGTGTGTGTGTATATATATATATATGTGTGTGTGTGTTTGTTTGTGTGTGTGTATAAGTATTTATATGAGGGAAAGATGACATGGACTTTTATGACTCCTTCAGTGTTCTTAAAGATCAGAAAATACATCCGACACCACATTTTCTCTATTTTATATGCTCTGAGTAACACTTTATCTGAAYGTGGCCAAACTACAAATGCCGTGTTCCTGAGAGAGCCCCACRAAATAAGGAGAAATTCCGATTTTGTACATTGGAAAAAAAACAGTGCATTGAAGTCACGTGCGAGGTTGATAACAGYGCAGGGAATGAAATATTGACTTAAATTCTTACTTCAGCATTGTAACCATTAGTTAGACTTCTTCAGTGCTCCTCTAATTACATTACTTAACAAAATTAAGGGGTGGAGGACAAGAATAGGAACTAATCTATTTACTGTCTGCCGAGGCTCTGAAGATTTGTTTTAAAATAAATATCTGCACTGCATCCCTTTACCTTAATAAAATAATTCTTATCCCCCAGGCCTGCTTGGTCCCATGTTAGATGTGGAATAACCTGTAATCCCTTGTGCTGTTTGAAGGTATTCAGCACCTCGGTGCTCTCAGCAGTGCTTTTCAGCAGTGTTTTTAGCCTCACCTGCCTCTCTGGGAATGGAGCTAATGATTCTCCCAGGGCCTCTGCCCAAGATGTGCCAGGGTGGAAGGGGCAGAGCTGCCCGTGCTCATCCCTCTGCTTTTCCTGTTGTCAGCTACTCCAGCAGAGCTACTCCAGCTACGCTGTGGGAGCTGCAGTAATTGCCACTTTTTGGGTTTGAAAGCAAATTCTGGCATAGGCTTCGCATGTCGTTTTAAATGGGGAGAAGTCTCGAGCTCGCTTTCTGCTGGCTGTCTAATGTAGTGTCTTCTAGACACTTTAATTCCCTTTTTTGTGTCATGAGCTTCAGGGAAACAAGGGAGCAATTTGTATATTTATTTGAAGTTTTCTTTAGTTTGCAGTGATTCCTGTGCTGGGTTGTTGCATTCTTAATCACAGCATCACTGTGAGCAAAGCAGTATTTTAACATAAATTTACTTTCTGAAGTGTAAATGTTCATTTTTCCAGTAATGTGAAGCCACACATTACTAATTTATTTTATTAGTTTAATCATATGCCTGAGTTACAGACCTGTAATCCACCCATTATCAGTGTGTGCTGGATTTTGGTCCGGGCCAGGAGCTGTGTAACACTGGCATCTGGATATGTAATAAAAGCTACTGTGTGGGAGCTGGATCCCCACTGAGACACTGTAGTGGGTTTTCTGCAGTACGTGYAATATGTTTTTAACATAGTGACTAAAAAATGTCTAGAATTGTGAGTTTTCCTTGTTTGAAAAGGAAGGCACTGGTGATGTGTGTTTATTCATGCTTAAGTGTGTGCTGGATAATCTAGTGTTGTTGTTGGTTTTTCTCCTCATTATGCTTGATGCATTATATCATTATATCTAATGTGGAATGGGATTTTCCCTTTTATCCCCTCTAGAGTTGTGGTTTGCTGGGACTTAGTAGTTCTGTATGTGTGAAAATCAGGCCCTCAAAAGGCAGATCTGAGTGAGCTGTGATCTCGACCCTGCCTGGGTTTGTGTCAGGCTCTTCCTTAGCTGGTGCTCTCTACACTGAGCATCCAAAGCCAGATGTTAAGTGTGTGTTTATAGTTTTCGTGCTAGTAAGTGAGGTCTTATTTTTATGGTAAGTAAGGTTACCTACCTTTGAATGCTTGGGTTATTCTGTGCTTCATGGGATTATTTTCTGCATATTTTTGTATTTTCATATGCTTTCCTCCATGAGGGATTTTTTTTTTAAGAGAAGAAGAGGAAAAAAAAAAAAAAAAAAGGACTTTCTGTGGTACTGCATAAATGTAACAGCAGTGGAGTTTGGGACTTATTCCAGATATCTAGACTAGCGGATCATTCTTGGTGTCTTCAAGAACATATCGGCATCGTTTCAGWCTCAGGGACTTGGGGTTGAAGTGTCCTGCTGTGGGAATGAGCCTGTCCCGTCCGTGCACGGTGCAGGTGTGTGGGAGCCCAGCCTCTGGTGCAGGCCTGACCTGTCGTTTTCCCTTTTTTTCCTTCCTGTGCCTTTGGAAATCTCCGCTTCCCTTGGGGTTTCACATTTTAGGGTCAACCTAGGATTGAGCTAGTGACTACTGCAAGTATTAAAGTGTCGCCAGCAAGGTGTGGAAAGGTTTGATCTRTAATGAACATAAAGCAATTTTAGCAAAATGCCCTAACACTAGAGCACCTGTACCAGAGCAACTGATTATTTTTTCAATACGTCCTGCTCTTGCTTGTCGCAGGTGACTTCACCAGCCTAATATGAAGTCCAGTTTTGCAAACACAGTTGCACCCACCCATGGGACATTGTGCTGGTGGAGGGCACCCCCAGTGCTGCCTCAGCAGCATTTTTCCTGATGTGAGTGGATGCACCGGCATGTGCCTCGCTWTGGAAAACACTGGGCAAGTTTTGCATTTCACTGTGGGTGACTTTCGAATCCGCTTTAAAGGCAGCGTTCTTAAATAAAGAGCAAAGGGCTGTTGTTATGAAAAGTGGAGCTTCAGGTGTTTCTTTTTGRTCTCGTAGTTTTATGGTGATAGACTTTGAAAAGCAGTTGCTATACTTTGCTTATACATTGTTTTATGTTTTTTTGGTGATTTCTGGAACACTAAATGGTCAAAAATGGTTTAACTGGTGGTTTCTGAATGGAAATGTTTTACTTCATACAAGAAGTTTCTTTACTCAAGAGGGATACAGCTATGAAGAGACGTATGCATATAATTACTGTTAGCCTGAGGGGGGGAACGGGAGGATGCATCTGCTTGAGTTACTGATCTAATAAGACTATTTTGGCTTAGATTAGTGTTTTTCTGGTTTTGCATTGATTTAAGTTGATTATGCGGGAATTTGTTAGTTTTTCAGTTGGCATAATAGGTCTGTTCAGTGACTTTATCAGTGCGTTTGAATAAACAATTTAGTATGAGTAAATCCTCTACRCCACCAATTTGCACATGTAGAGAAGTCCTATGACCAGCTTTATKTCTGTGTTTCACAGAGTTATCAAAATCTGTTGCCGAAGACATTGATTTGAATACCAGATGTAAGATGATTTTTAACACAAAAGAAGTGGAAATGTTTATCTATAATCTTAATAGTAAGGAGTTTTAGATATCACTGTGGCATATCAGTAATGATGTTGTAATACCCTGCCTCAGATAATTTTACTTCTCWCAAACATTTTAATGTTTTTTTAATTGTGTGTGTTGCAACTCCTGAAACCGCAAGTTGTTTAATGTYGACGAAAGCTGCGATGACCTCTCCGAGCATTTTGATAAATAAATATGAACATATCGCACGTGATTGCTATTAACTTCCACTTATGGCTTTGTTTGCTTTTCAGGAGCTTGAAGAAATCCGCAAATGTGGAATGAAAAACTTCCGTAATATCCAGGTTGATGAAGCTAATTTATTGACCTGGCAAGGGCTTATTGTTCCTGTGAGTACAGACTGCTGCTTATTCCAAAGAGCTTTACAATGAAATGGAGATCGTTTGTATCGTAAATCCACAGTTTACTAGTATTATGGGTGATGTTAGATAATCTTTAGATCCTGACAAGAAATTGTTTGTGTTATGAAGCTGACACTCAGTTACAGCTGTCTCCAAGTGCCAGTTGTTTATAAATACAGCCTAAGTTTCCATAGAGCCTACTGAGGCACCCTAAAGCTCTCCAGGATCTCAGGCTGTGGGCAGTGCAGTCCTGCACTGCATCCTGGTGTCTTTAGACTTCCTTGTATCATCTTCCTGTCTTGTTGCATTTGAGTCCTGTGTGTTTTGCTTTATCAAAATTAAGTAATGCTACCGGGTGTCTCTTATAAGTAGCGTGAAGAAAAACCTGTAGGCAACTGAAAGGGATTTTAGTCTTCTCTAACAAAGTACCTGCCTGTGTGGAGCTRTGGCCTCAGGGGTGCCCCAGGATGACGGAGGGGGAGAGCAAGTGCAGGTTGTTATTCATTGCAACAAACTAAAGCTACCAAATATATGTCGGCGTAGGAAAATGCTCGAGATATGAAATACTGTGTTTACTTCTTAATAGATTTTTCTTTCTAATTGATTAGATTTATTTCAAGGACAAAATTGAACATTGGAAAAAAAAGTTGGATGGAAGGAAAAGGTTTGGATTTTCAGAACTGAACTCTGTGAAGCAGGCCTCCTTAGTAAGGCATAAATTAATAGTACAGCTTTTTAAGAGAACGCTTAATAGAAGCAGAGTATGTCCTGTGCTCACTTTGGTGTGCGACCTACCTCTAAATATGTGGCGAGGATGTTATACTAGTAGGTGACCTGCTTTTTCTTGGGTAGTGCCCGGAGGGAGAGACCTGGGTAAATGTGTGTCTCTAGACGACTTTGAAGCACTGACTTGACAGTCCCTCTGCTTTGTTRTTTGAAGGCAAGTCCTGAGCTTGCATTGTACAGCCTGCACCGAGGTACCTGCTAGGCCTCTGAACTTGAAATGCTATAAACCAACACATTGAGTTTACTCTGCTTGCCTGCAGTTGTTCAAGGAATGGCTTCGAGTGCTTTGAGGCTGCTCTTGCAAACAAAGGAAGCAGAATTTGACACTAAATTTGACCCAGCTGATACACRATACCCTTTATGGGCTGCTCTGAGAGTTATGGTTTGTGTGTAGCAGTTTACTCCTCTCATACTATTTTGTAGTGATATAAAGCATGTAAAAAACACATGCTTTCTGAAAAGGAAAATGCCGAAATACTTGTTTATTCTTGTTAAAATTGATGATGTACAAGTAGGCAACTATTTTTAACAAAGTTTCAGCTCACCAGAGTTTGTGGTTAGTGTTTGCAGAGGGTCAGGACATGGTGGGTGTTACAAACAGCACTGCAGTGCTTCGTACCTACCTATATGTCCTTCATACCTTCCTTTTATTTATACTATGCCATGTTACAATGGCATAAATTAAGTCTTAATTTCACTCTCAGTGTAGTTAAGAGGGATTTTTTTCATGAAATCTTTATTGTGTTTTTTAAGATTACACTATAAATGATATTTCCTTTCTTAGCTTATTTTTTTAGCTGTTGCACTACTGGAGTTGCTTTAAAAATGGCAAATACAAGTTGGTCACATTTTTTTTTTATGCTGAATTCTTGCTTTTGAAATGTTGCATGTTGTATCTGTTTTAGAAAATGTTAAGGATTTAATAACAAATCACTCTTAGTGCAAATCAATCACTGTTTATTAAACTCTGTAACTATGAATTATTTTGGCCAGCCTTTTAATGAAGGTTTCAGAGATAGGATGGCTGATATTTTTGGTAATGTTCATACAAAATTATTTTGAAAGATACTGTTTTAAACACTACTGTCTTTGTTGTAGGTAACATCAGCATTGCTCTGAAGGACAAAAAATATTTTTTAAGCATAAGAATTTGCTCAGGTGAAAAACAAATTGGAGCTAGTGTGTCATTCAGGTGTGGTTGCCATACAGCTTGCTTTCCTGGTGTAAATTATGGAATMAAGTAGTTGGTGTTCTGGAGTTTGAAATCAAACAAATGATGCATCTTTTTAACACCAAAACAAAACTCTCTGCCTCAGGCATCTTGTCCTGGTAAGAGGAACTGGTGCTGATCTGAAAACTTCAACTCACTTTAAAGCTGCTTGTTATAGACAGACTTGCCTGAAACACTTGCTGTAGACAGGGGAGATACTCTAGGTACACACATACCAGATGTCATTAGGGTTTCTGTATTTGTAATTCTGACTCTGTCACCTTTTCAGTGTCAGAGTAAATACAGCCCAAATGATTGGAAAGCAATTACTTGAATATTCTGTTTTTCTTCCATTGAAATGATGAGCCACCCATTAGCATGTGTTTTAAATTGCTGAACTGTCCTGAAGAACTGCCCTGACTGAAAGAATTGAGCAGAAAACAGGCATATTTTTCAGGCAGATCCATTCCCTTACCAGTTCACTGAACATCCTCACAAGTTAGAGCATGTGATGGAGGTAAGGACAAGTAAGCAGGGAGAGAAGGAGGCGGTAGCTGCTTGACTTGYCACCGCCACCAAAAAGTTTAAGAAAAACTTGCAAAATTTTTAGGATTGCTTGGATGAGGAGTGATTTTTTTTTTTAATCCACTTTAGTTATCTTTTCCCTTAGCTGCAAGATTTGTATATTATTATTTAGAAACATTCAAGCAGACTTTTCCCTCAGAAACTAAAATTTGTATTTATTTATTCAATCACCTTTCAATACAATTCCCCTGCCTCCCAGATTGATGAACTCTTCCAGCTTACAAAATGTGTGTGGAGAAAGTGTGGGATTATAGTTTGTGATCACTGGAAACTCTCATCCTTCGATTTTTGTTCCCTACTTCAAGTTTTTGGAAAGGCTTCTTGCCATAGTTACTCTTTCCAGTGCAAAAATGATGTTTTTAGAAATTTTAGAAGTAGCAGTAGTTTCTTTTTCTTATGACTTTCTTTTCTAGTTACAGCCAAGCACTTGAAGCAGTATTGATAGCCTGACAGGTTTTCTAAATGAGGTGCTGGACATGGTTTTCCCCCCTGTTTCAGCATGCAGAATTACCTTGCTTGCTTCACAGCCCTCTCATCATGCTCCTTCAAGAGTGATCTGATAAGAGCTGCTGCTAAAACTGCCTACAAATTCAGCACGTTCTCATCAGCAGATGCAGTGAATTTCTATCTTTAGTACAAACGACTGCTCAGCAAATTTCTCTGCAGTCAGCTAGAGCAGAAAGGTTCCCAGAACATGTGGGGTAATCTGACAACTCAACTTGGTTTTCGGTTTGTCCCACCATGCTGGGAGACACCAAATAACTAGGTTAAGAGATACCAGTTGTCTTTGTGAGGTCGGCAAGTGTTAGAATGCAGTTGGAATATGCAGCTGGGAATGGAAATCCTTATGAGACAGGACTCTTTGAGTATGGAGTAAATGGGATTGGGCACTTCCTTCCCGGTGAAAATGTCAGCCAGCGTTCAGGATGACAGTGGGGCGAGTGCAGAGACTGCAGAAATTTTATTGCCCCTTCCAKAGCAAACTGGTTGTGCTGTTTCCTGACACAGAGACATGATGGTCTGTGTTGGGGGAAAAGGATCTTGAAAAAGGGCATTTGATAGACTGAAGTCTGTGGCATGTGTTTTCTTGAACTGTGTCCATGAGAATGTGCCAGATCTGTGATGTTCTGTCTTCTTGCTGCAGGACAATCCTCCGTATGACAAAGGAGCCTTCAGAATCGAAATCAACTTTCCAGCAGAATATCCATTCAAACCTCCTAAGATTACATTTAAAACAAAGATCTATCACCCTAATATTGATGAAAAGGGGCAGGTCTGTCTGCCAGTAATTAGTGCTGAAAACTGGAAGCCAGCAACCAAAACTGACCAAGGTAGGACTCCATGTGGAGAAAGAGCTTGGTATTGAGAAACTGTGTGTTGTGTGTTGGAAGCTAATAGCAGCTCCAGCTGGTCATCTGTTTACAGCTGCCCTACTATATGGCTTCAGGTTTGCAYCATGAATCACATGTTTTGAGCACAGGGTGCAGCCCTTACGACCCAGTGACAAAATGGGATTCTAGGGTAGTGACACTCGCTCCTGGCATCTGCTGCGGTGACGTTTCTGCTGCCAGGAAACCCCCAAACTCTTCATGACTGAAGAGGTGAAGGCAGTGTCCTTGGCGTATTAAACAAGAAGAAAAAAATAATAATTTCTGGTGGTTGCAATGATTATTGCAAACCAAATTGCAATTTGATAACCAAAATAATTTCTGGTGTATTTTGCATTTCTTTTAAACCAGTGACTTCATAAACCAGAGGTGTTCGACATCTTTCTGATTGTTTGGAAGAGAGAATCTTAAACCTCAGGCTTATTCTATTTTATAATCTGTGCAATCGGGCATAGCAAATTCAACATCTGGTTTGAAATATCTGGGGAACCATAAATAAAAACTGAAACACAATTTAACCTTGGGTTCTTAGAAGATGGCTGCATTGAAGCTTATGGTGTGCYGTAACTTTGGATCAGAATTTAAATATTTTAAAGAAAAATATTTCATTGGGTTCTTGGGCAGATTGAGAATGATCTTAATAGACCATACCATAATACCATACCATTTTTATGGCATGGTATTTTTATGGTATGATTTTTTTAAGGTTTTTATGGAATTTTTGTGCTGAAATTTCATSTTTTCTAGAGGATGCAAGTAATTAGATTTTAAAACTTTATTGTAATTATTGCAAGAATGTTTACAGTTTTTTAATGCAGGGGTTTATAATATTATGAWTTCAAATCAGTAGAGTTTAGTCCAGTGTAAAAGCTCTAGTGGCACTGGAGAGTCTTGCTTTGCAAGAGAAAATACATCCTTCTTCCAGACCCCTCCTAAAGGTGTGTGTTTGTTCACTTGGATTGTGTTCCCCATAGTGAACAGCACCTGTACTTGGGATTTCTTTACTCTATTCTAATCAAACTTCTTACAGTTTGCATGATCTTCTTGCCCCAGAGACAAAATAAGAGAATTCCTTTAGTTGCTTGGGAAAAGAGCAAGTGCTTGAATGYAAAGATCAGGGGGGAGGCAAAATGAGCCTTCCAACCTCGGAATAGGTGAGCAAATATCTTGTGTTTTGGGATTAGTTTATCTCACATTACACTGGAGACACCCCCTTGGGAGAAGAAAATAGCATAATATGTAGGTTTTCATTAAAAACACAGCAACTGTCTTGGTCTTATTTGTGTGTTTCCTTCTCTAGCCAAGAGGAGGAGGGACGGGTCCCGCTTGCAGGGCGGCCTGGCCCTGGCTGCGGCTCTGGGGCAGTTCTTTGCACATGGGGAATAGTCACTTCTCACTGGGAAGCAGCACAGTCCTCTGAGAGGCCGTGGAAGCTGTTCCAAGAGCAGAACTTGGAGCAAATCCTGGCTCCCGAGATCCTGCCCATCTCGCCCTAGCTGCTCCGCTGCCTCTCGGCTCTCTGGTTTTCCCTCTTTTATTCAAGAAGTTCTCTCACTTTCTGATGCTGTTACTCCGTGTTGGCCCAAAGCTACAACAAAGTACTAACAGCCTGGCTTAAGAGTCTCTTCCTCTATCTCCAAAACTGCTCTGCACTGCAAAATAATCTTAGTTCAGAAGCCTAGTTTGCTAGGCTTTTGTAGTGCCGTGTATTGAGGTTAGTTTAGTTTTCCAGCGTATTTTTTCTTGTCATTCACAGTTTTGGGTGAACTAAAGCTTGACATGCTGTTAGAGCTTGTTTGTGCAATGTCTTGGGTCACTCTTAAAGACCCTACGTCTATAGGGATGTATTTAAGTACAGCTTATCTCTCTTATTATTGAGGCATTTTGTTTGCACCTTGATTTGGAAGTTTATCCCTGTTAGTCTGACGATGTCTATACTTTCTTTGACAGTAATCCAGTCCCTCATAGCACTGGTGAATGATCCACAGCCCGAACATCCCCTTCGGGCTGACCTAGCTGAAGAATACTCTAAGGACCGTAAAAAATTCTGTAAGAATGCTGAAGAGTTTACAAAGAAATATGGTGAAAAGCGACCAGTGGACTAAAATCTGACACAGTTGATGTCAGCACCGTATGCTAGAAGATCGGAGCAGTGCATTTGAGACACCCCGTAAAGCAGGACTCTATGGAAAATTGACAAGTGCCACCTCTCGGTGTTAACTTGTGGCTGTTACTAACTTTCTACAGTTTTCTTAATCAAAAGTGGGCTAGGTAACCTGTAAAGAAAGGATTAAAAATTTAAGATGTTCTAGTTCTGCTTTCTTTGTTTAAAAATCACTGCTTCAATATACTTTAAAGTATGCTGTTTTCTTTTTCTTGTCAGAATTTATCAAAAATATCTTAGACTTATATTCTGCCCTTAAATTGAGAAGGTTATGGCTGTCGTTTCTTATTTCTCCCTTGCAGTTCCCACTCTCTTGAGTTCATTTAATTCTTCATTGGATTTTTTCCCCCTCCCCAAACTGATGTCTTAGAGAAATTATCCCAGTTCTGGCAGAAAATGATTGAGTGTTTGGCAGTTTTGTTTACTTTTTCTCTTTTAATGTTGCACTGTGCTTTGTGGGACTTGCACTGCAAGCTCCCCTTAACTTCAGTTTGTAACATAATAAACAAAAACAGATGAACCCCACAAAAAAAAGAAAAAAAAAAAGAAAAAAAAACAATCAGAAATAATGTCCAGGTCTTATGTAAATCTGGCTGATGTTACCACAATAATGTTTATTAAACGGGGAAACCCAAGATTTTGTGTGCGTGATTGAATTAAAATACGGCTTACATCCTGCTTTTGGAAAACCTTGGGGGGAAAAAAAATACCCATAGCAAATGAATAGTGGAATGTGACTGTGGACTGCTTTCACTTCTGTTCTTAGTACCTATGCAGAGTAGCTAGGAAAAATTGCACAGAACATCATTGCAACCGGGTTAGAAGAGTTTCAGAGAATGGGGACCAAGAGGTGCTGAAGTAATAAACTGGTTTTGGAGTTTAAAAAAAAAAAAAAAAAAAAAAAACCCACACCTCTCTTTTGGAAATAAGTTTAAACTTCCATACTAGATCTGGCAGCACCCTTGGTCCCCAGAGTGTGTGTTTTCCACCAGAATGATTTGAAACACCCGCGTCTTCGGGCTGGCACGTCCCCCACCTCCCCACCCCCTTGCTGTACAGTTCTTACGAAAATGAGAATATAGGATTAAGCAATAAACTGTCCTAGCGTACACGTCACTTCTGCTGCTGCTGTGCTTGCCGAGTGCACGCACACGAGTTGGATGGTGCAATGAGGACTCCGGTTTCATTCTATCATCCCAACTGAAGCGGGCAGCAGCGTTTTCGCTCCGCTCCGGGCGCACCGACGCATGCCGAAGGAAGCCCTTCCCCTGCAGACCGAGCAGCTCCTGCTGTGTCTCTCCCCTCTTCCTCTGGCTGCCTCTCCTTTTTTCCCCCTCAGTCTCCCGTGTGATCCCAGCCCCATCCCCAAGCTGCCGCACGGTCCCGCTGCCTCCTGCTCCCTCCTGCTGCCGCCCAGCGGGTTCCTCTCCAGGAGGCCCTGCGGGACCGGAGCTGCCGCCGCTCCGAAGCGCAGGAAGCGGCGCTGGAAAATCCCCCGCGCTGCCCAAGCTGGTTTCAACCAAGCCAGTTTCAAGGCGGCCTCTGCCCTTGCTGTGTTTCAAAGCCACCGTCTTGGTCTCCAGCTCTCCTTTGGTTTCCGTGTCCTGTGGAGCTCCCCTTTCCCCCATCCATCCCTCTCGCCCAGCTTTGATTTCACAGTTAGTGTAAACAATGACAGCCCAGGACCTCACCTCTGTTGAAGTAATTTTTTTTTATATATCTATATAAGTTAGGGAGCTAAGAAATTTTATGTTTAAGTGTTTTTAGATTCTTTGGCAGGTAAAGAAAGTTAAACCATATTCACCTTATTTACAGAAAGTTGCATTTCGTAAGTGTTTTCAGGCTTGAGAGAGCACTGTCTTATTACCAGATTTTCACATCTTTGTGTCTTCATTTGCAGAAAGTTGGTACTGATTTTGTTTCATTCACACTCACGCAGATTCATAATAAAATAATGCCAAATTATCTGTCAAACTGAAGTGTGTGTAACTTCTGCCTCGGATACCTAAATGAGTCTCTGTTCCTTTGGATCATGTTTGTTGGCGTGGAAATTTGCCATTCTCTAAAATTCCTTTCTTTTTATCTACAAACAAAACTGTAGCACTAGCTTGCTGCCCTCGGTACTATTAAATAGTGTATTTTGTGGTTGTAAAGCTCAGGTTATCTCCTGCATTCACTGGAATCAGTGCGACTTGGACGCCACGGAAGGGGAACTGGAAGGGCTCCGGAATTCCCGGACTTGCCGTCGGGATTCGCCGCGGCCCCGCGCGAGGCCGTCGCCTGCGGAGAGGACACGGGAGGAAGGTTTTGCTCTCTGCTCCCCGGGTTTTGCATCCTTCACTTCTAAACCACGAGCTGTGTAACCCAGCGATGGCTTTTGGTCCTAGGGGCCCCCTGGAAACGAGAGATCAAGCGCTGAACTGTGCGGCTGAAGTCGGAGGGGAGGGAAAAATCAAAGCACCGAGAGCTGCGTTCACTCAGGAGCTCGAGGTCTCCCTCTCTCTGGTTCCCTAAGCCATGCTGAATTCTTCACGYGCAGTTTAAGATCCAAACTAAAAGCAAAATGCTGGTGAAACGGCACACAGGAGCGCTGGTGTAGGCTTTCTGCAATGCCATTCTGCTACCCTAATAAAAATGCTCTCAAAGGCTTCGTGGCATGGTTTTATTTTCAGAGAGACGGGGTTTGCATCTAGTTATTTGTTTTCAAGTATCTTGGTATCAYGAGCTTTTCAGGGAGGGGTCTCAAGTGTCTTTTTAGCTTGAACTTGGTGTCACCTTTAAAGCTTTCATAGAACCACTGAGAACTGATTTCCTGATCTGTGTACGTTGCACACAGTTTAAAAGCTTCCAGATTTAGAAATCGGTGCTTTATTAAATAATTTCCCCATTTTTTGGAAGTTAAAATGCTTTTTAATGCTGTTCATTAAAAATACATATTTTTTAAAAAAATCTGCTTGCAATAGCACATCAATTCAAGGCAGCCAACCTGCTGGTTTGAGCGCTGGTGTGAACCATGTAGAGAACGTGGGCAGATGGATGTGAACAGGCCCGTGAGGCCGAGTGGCTGCGAGCAAAGCAAATTCACGAGCTAGAACATGGAGTAATGTCAAATTAGATATRTTTAAAAATATATCCATCAAAATGTGTTCACATAACGTAAAAACCTGAGCTCCGGTGTTACTGGAAAGCCACTTGCTGTTCCTGGCACGGATAGCGACCAGTCACTAGGTGGCACTCACACTTCTAGCTCATCCCTGGAACCTTCATCTGTTAAAGGTTTAAATGCAGGCCTGAAAGCTCCTGGTTTTTATATTTTTTTATATTGTCACTTTTCACATGGCAAAAATCTTCACCATCAAATGCTGATGAGAAAAGCCTCAGAAATCACCTCCCAAACGGTAACTGCTGTTTCAGTCTGACTCAGCTGTTCTGTATTTCATCTGTACAACATGGTAGAGACACTGTTTACAAATATATGTACATTGATTCATTTTGTGACAGTAATTTAGAGAAGAACATGAAAAATACCATACAAAGCAACTTTGATGTTATGTTTTTCATGTGTGTACGGAACAAGAAGGACCTCAGGTGCTTTGGAGAACAGGTCGAACGTTGGTTCCCAGTAATACGGAAGCTCCATCCCTTCCGCGCTCTCCAGGCTTCCACAACGTGTCCTTAGTTTGTTCTCCAAACTAAGAAGCCTCCTAAAGCAGTGCAGTAAAAAAAGGGGCTGAGTTTATTATTCAYTTAAAAGAACAATGGTTATCTTAGAATCCTTAACGTTAAAAAGATACAACATGAAACAGATCCCTTTTGAGAAGACAGTAAATAYGAATAATTGAAAAGAAAATTCCTTTTCTCTGAGAACGTTAAGGGAGAATAAACCAGGAGTGCGGATGAGTGCGGTGTAACCTCGACACGGCAGCTCGCCAGGTTTGATGCATTTTGGATGCTCCTGCAAGGAGCGAAAAGGCAAATGCAGGAGCCTGCTCCATGCGTGGAACCCCCGTCGTGGGGCGCGTGGCTCCCACCCGCAGCGTGGGCAGAAGCAGTTGCTGCCGGGCAGGGCCGGGCAGAGCAGGTGGGTTGTTCAGCTGAACAGTTGCTCTTCTTGCAAAGTCATCCAGGAAAAAAAGCCTCTCTGCAAAGGCTGTCAGTGATGCTGCTTTCCTGGGGTGGCCGAGTGCCAAGAGGCAACGTAAATGGGACCGTGGCCACCTCCGGTCACGGCCCGGCTGGGGACTCGTGTGGAGGACGGCTGCAGGGTGGCCTGAAACAAACAGCTCTGGCTGCCCTGACCAGAGAGATGGTCTGCAAGGAGCTGCCCCTTGCTGCAAACATGCAGGCACCAGCGTGTGTGCAGGGGAACCAAGCACCAAACCAGGAGCGTCTTGTCCAAGTCCTTCGGAAAAACCCAACTGGGGGCTTTGCCAGGCCTCCGCTGGGCACCCTGCAAGRAGCAGCCTTTGCCCCCTGCCACGTGCTGCCTTTTCCTGTTAGGGGAGTAGTCTTCTCCCAAATTAAAGATCCCAAATGGCTCTAAGAGCTTCTTGGTCTAACATGGAAGGGCGTTTGTGCTGCCTTTGTGCTGGCCACAAGTCACATGGGGTTTGGCGGCAGCTGCTGCGCCGCAGCGTGAGGGGTGACACAGAAGGGATTTGTCACATTCAAACCAGCGGCCAAGGCTTAAAAATTAGGGCTGGTTGATCTGTGATTCTGCTGCAGGAGCCTGCAGGTCCGGGGGCCTCCWTCCCTGCAAGTTCTCACGCTTTTCCTGGCTCCTGTCACCTGCACCGGGGAGTGTTACAAACATCAGCAATGGTTTAACTGCTGGCACCAACCGCATCTCCACAGAGCACAAACCTCCACGTGCCCACTCCTGTTTATTTATATATCTTTGAACGAGCAGAGCTCAATGTTCCTGCTTTTGTAGTGGCTCCGCAGCTCCGGCTTCATCAAGGTGTGCAGCTCGTGCAGGCGCTCCCAGGACTGGGAGAAGTCGTCGGGCCCCTGGCCGCAGCCGCCGGCGCCGGGCGCGCTGGGGTAGCCGGGATGCACCATGAGCTCCGCGGTGACGCGGCGGCGCGCGGCGCCCGCGCCGGCCAAGTCCCCGAGGGCCGYGTCGATGGCGCCGCTGATGCTGCCCACGGACATGTTCTTGCCCATGGTGCTCAGACCTATGTAGATGTCCGGCCACCTGCAGCGGGGGAGCRTGGAAATGAGCGGTGCCGCAGGCCGCCAGACAAGGGGTGCTGCGTTTGTTGGATTAAGAATTGAAGTTAACCTAAAACTTAAGATAACAAAGTCTATAACAGCTATTGAGCTGTTATAAATCGCTAACTCTAAGCAAAACAACAAACAAATAACTATTTTTTTCCTTTCCTTATTATGAAGCCCATGGTGCTGTTTCAGGCTGTG